GTGCTCGCTCTCCCAACTTCGCCTGGTTGAAAGGGCCTAGCACACAACACCATGACTGTCATCGCCATGATTCGATGATTCGGTGCGGTCTCCAACCCTCTAACCACTGAGCCAAGGTCAACAGTCAAGCCCACCGCTATCTCATGTCCAATGGAAAATCTTCCGACGGCAACACACGGTCCGGCACAGTACTCCGCCTCTCACACCCGACGTACTCCAAGAGGCAACCACAAGTGGTACCGTAGACAGCATGTACGAGTGCACGACTCTCACCCCCCCGATGTTGCCCGTGAACTCCGCCTCGCCGTCCACGACGATATCACCTCTGTTGAAGATGGCCCCGCCCTGGGCTCCACCGAAGTAGTCCTGCAAGAGCAGATCATCATATCATCAGTTGCAGTATTGGTTGCGTGGGGTGAGACAAGGTAGACACTCATCATGCTGAATACTCGTGTGCTTCGGTCGACTCAAAGCCACAGGGGATACCTGCGACTTCACATGGCGCGGTACGATTCGTTTCCTGCCACACTATTTTCCTGACACTTCAAGCGGGTCGAAGCTCAAGTACCCCCGGTACCGCCGTATGGTAGACGACCACTTACTCATATTAAAAATTCTGGAGAAAGTTCGTGGAACTCAACTTTGTCTTTCTGTTGTTGTCGGTGGTGGTTGGGGGTTAGTTGATGCCGTTGCCGCTGCCGCTGCCATAGTGCCAACCTCTCCGCTACGTAGATGGCTCATCAGTGTAGGGCACCATTCCTGCTGTAGTACGGTCACAAGTTGACTCATGGATTTGCCACGAAGGTGTAACAGAAAACTATGGCCGATTGTCGGAACACGTTGATTACACAGCACGCTGAGATCAGCCGGACATGAAACAGGAAGTCTCCAGGAGGCTGACTCACGTCGGCTTCGTTGTCCGTCATCGTGAGTTTGCCCATGAAGTAGATGCTTCCCTTGACATGAACGGAGATTGCCCCGCCCGGCCCAGAGCCGTAGTACAGCCTGTCGTTAAGGTTTCCGCTGAAGGTGGCGTCCTTCTCGAACGTCAGACTTCCCTGTAGCAAAAGACAACAACACGCATGATAGGCCCGGGTAATTTTTGGATATTTTTGTTCGCGCCGCTACATGAACATCATCTGCAACGCCGATGACACGAGTTCTCCAAGCCACATGAAGCAGCCTTTGCGTGTAGCTACCGTAGACGTCCTCTGAAGCTTGAATGAGTTTCGATTCATTGAAACGAAACCGCTGGCAAGAGTTAGTAATGTCTCACGTGTTGACCTCGGTCTTCCGGGACGAGACGTACTTATGAATCGCCCGCCTACCTCACTAGCAGAGGTCAAGAGAATCAAAATATCGTGGAAAAATGTCGGCGCATGCTGCATCATCATGAATTGAATCTTGCTATTCGATACGCGCATGGTTTTCTTTGTGTTTTTCGGGCGTAGTAAATAAACGCAACGAAACACGCGAAGTGTTTGGCTACCCTGACGTGCATTCTGCTTGTTAGATGACAGCACGCTGCGTGAGAGAAGTAAGTAATCGATGCATCGCCGAACCATACGACACGACCAAACGCACATTCTGAATTCGTTGCGTACGTACCTTGGTGTGGATCGCGCCACCCTTACGCAGTATCTCTTCTTCGGTGCTTTCGTCGATGCTGGTCGAAATGATGGAGTTGTCGGAAAACTCCGCCGTACCCTTGAAGACACCCACGGCGCCGAGCTCCAGTTTCAACACGCCGCCGTTCTTTTCCTGTTAGCGACGGCGTGATTTCCATGCTAAATGCTATCGTTTGCCTTGGCTGAAAATACCCATCGCGCCATGGACTTCACATCTAGTACTGCTTCAAAACGGAGCCTTTCAACGGTCTCGGTTGCAATTACCACACAGGGGTACACAGGGGGGGGAGGAAAGGAAATTCCACAACTCCTACGCTGTGAGGGCACGACTGCATCGACAAGAGCAAGGGGGCTGCAACGTGTAGCAAGAACTGCAGTATCCTCCACATGGATATCTTCTCGTCACTCATATTTTTGTATCCCCTCCCTTCCGTTGCATTTGCCTTCTTTTTTTTTTGCGGTAAACATGAATGGTGGTGGAGTAGATTATGTTGTGCGGGGTCGAGAACCCTCACTCCGTGCAAGGGGAAAAATCGCACCACGTTGTGCTAAATTGGTCAAGCACCCTCGAGGCAGTTACGCAGCGCTTCCAACTGTCTCTGTAAGTTAAAGCACCAGAAAAATATATTAAGTCATACGCAGCTGTCATCCGTACGCGAGGAATCAAGCACAAGATGCCGAACACCCTTAGCAGGATGCAGCGCACCGTTCAGGTGGCTCGCCGAATACCTCATGGCGCTTCGCGCTTGGAGATGTGAGAGCCTGGTCCGGTGAGAACCCGGCGAGCTCCGTCCCGACTTTGTAGGGATGCGAGGTCAATGGTCAAACGACTACGGCATGAACGACCATGAGTACACCCCCCCCTTCTGTTACATGTCCCCCTTTCCCGGATGTGCCGAATATTGCTCGATGTGGTGCACAATAATTCTGCCCTTCACTACTGGAATGCTGAAATTCCTGCACATGTCGCGTGGGGGTTGGGGGGGAAATATGCGATGCACCCACGGGGACGCACCTACGCCATGCACCCACACCATGGCAGTCCGGCCAAAACAGGCCTGCGTGAGCACCGTTTCCCACCCAATATGTAGCGACCTACAGTAGGCCTACTCCAAGCACCAACAACCTAGATTCATCGCATCGATAACCTACAATTGTGGCACATATCCAAGCTTACAAACCTATTCATTATCCCATCATCACCAACCTAGCGCCAACGCCGGCCCACCAACCTAGTACTTCGCCACCCAGCGCCAACCTAGCACCTATCCGGTGGGTTTGGGGTTAGGGTTAGGGCTGCAGCGTGAGGGACTTTGGTCCACGCCAAAGCAGAGATTCCTGTTTGGAGTTGCTACATAGCTGAAGGGGCAGGACCTTGCATTTAGATGCGGAATAGGGTAGAAAAAAAACTCGAGCTTCGGATCATTTTTCGTTCACTCTTTTTTCGCACCAGCCTTCGTAGACCTCTTTTTTCCTCCGGGGGTTATTTTTGGTCTGTCAAGGTTGTGGGTGCATGGCTTACTTGCGTTCCTACGGATGCATGAAGTTTTTTGGCCGTGGGGTGGTCCGGCAGGTTACCGTTCATTTCTGGCGGGAGGAAGAGGACCTACCAAATAAATGTGCCTTAGTGTATGTCGTGCGGAGAGAGGGATCCATCAGCCTGGTTACACGTGGAGACAAAGTGTCTGCTGACAGCTGTAACAGAATTGATGCCCCCCCTGTACGTGCAAGAGAAGAGTAGAAGTAGTGTAGGACTTTGTCGAAAGCTCTCTCAAGCGGATGAGGATATAGACTGTGTAAGTCTTCAGTCCATAATACAACAACAGCGCCAAATTGTGCTACATGGTACGTGCGCAAAGTACATGAGGCTGCTGTGCCGTGTGTGTGTTCGATGTATGTTCCCAGTTATTTATTTATTTGTTTTTTCTCCCATCATTGGACTCTGTCGTCTGCCCCTTTGGCCCCTATCCTCCACGTCTACCAGCTAGACGACCCAACCGGGGTCACATAGGAGGGGGGGGGTTGGACCCCCTCCTGCGGTTCCTGCCTGAGATATTTTTATCGCGAGGAGGGTACAGCAGCGTGTGCGGCGGTGGCATCTGCTTCAACATCCGTCTTGAGTAATTATTCCATTTTCAAGATTTAGCGCCTTTAGGTTAAACATCTCTCGGTATCTCTCGCGCTCTCGCGCCCTCGCTCTCGCTCCCTCTCTCCCTTTCTTGCCCGCTCTCGCCCTCTCTCTTTGGCTTGCTCCCTCTATGCAAATTGAACGATCCTATGTAGAGCTGCTTGCCAGAAAGTACAAGCTGCACCGACCCTGTTGCTGCTGCGGTGACTTCCTTTTGAGGCGAGCTATCGATTGTCTCGACATGACCGTTGTATGAGGTTGACGCTCACCACGAGAGACACCCCAGTGAACACCACGTCCGGCTCCACCGTAAGCGACCCGTACACCTTCAGCGCGAAGTTGGAAAAGGTCACCTTGCCCACCGAAGACTTGAGCACCATGTTGCTGCGGATCGACAGGCGCGTGTACTCGTCGCAAGCAAAATCAGCCTCGGTGATGGTCACCTCGGTCTCGACCTTACGGTCTATGGCAGCGAACTCGGTGCAGCTCCCCACGTTGACGGCGGCGCGAGCGCCCGATCTCACGGCCCCCGCAAACAAGGCGGCGGAAAGGGCAGAGAATCGCGCCATTGCTCGTTGTTTCGTTACTGGTGCTGTAGCCTACCAGTGTGTGTGAGGGTATGAGGGGATACTGCTTGTATCCTGAACTCTGTGGTGATGTGTGATTTGGTGCACGAAATCCCGAACTCTGCCGATTGGTTCCGAATCTCAGAACTTAAAAGATAACCAAAAAACGCGTGCACGGGCGCGTGCACCCTGTGCGCGCCTCTCTCTCTTTCTGCAGACCGCCGATGTATGGTCTAGTCTACATGTATCTACCTGCTTCGTATGATATACATATGCATATGCATATTATCTACAATCGAGGTCGTGTAAACTTCTCTAGACTGCGCAGCAGGTGCCGAGTGCCCAGGCAGTCATGCGAGAGTCTCGGTCAGAGTCAGAAAAGCAAAGCGAATGAGACAAGCAAAGCGCCATCTTGGCAGCTTTGAAATGTGCAACCAAGATAGACTATGCGGTATCCCAGCCATTCTCGCGTGAGTTACAGCTCCCATCCATTCTAAAAAGTAGCTGCTGCTACAACAACAGCAGATGGACCTCGGCGCAGTAAGCTCTGAGAGCTGCTGCTGCTGCTGTGCTGGGTGTTGACCTATTGTAGCGTGGCAGGAGGAATGGTCGAAAAATTCCCGGACATTTTGAACAGCCTCGTGACAACCGCACGAACCATCACGACGATCACGCTCATTCAATCTCAGAGAGTCCAGCATAGTAGACGTCCAGAAGTCCAGCATAGTAGTCTAGATTCTAGCGATCATTTTTTTGGCTCCTCTTGTGTGTTTTTCTACTCATTGTTATACTGCTGCTGCTGCTGCACAACGGTTGTACCACCGCCTTGTACCCTTTTTTTGTTTTGTTCCCCGCGGCGTCGTATGTGCCGGATTTTTGCCACCACGGGCTCCCCATTGTTGTGGACTACAGATGGCGCTCCCACAACTTGGCACTTAAGAAATGCAGCCTCGAAAAATTCAAATTGAAGAACTTGGCCATAAGAACACGTGCTCAATTCCGACGTGGTATTAAGAACAAGCACCCGTACTTGTGGTGTACCAAAGCGCTTACGGATAAGAACAGACCCCCAAAAAGTGGCAGCTGCATGATAAGAACTCATCATGAAGGTGGTGTGGGTTGATTGACTCAAGGACACCCCACCCACCGGTAGTTTCAAATCACCGACGAGAAGGGGGATCTCCGTTTCAATTAATACCGGTGCGGAGGGGGCGGGGGGTATGCGCACTCTTATATTTTGCGTATTTTAGTGGTTATACCATGGCGTCGGAATCGCTGTGGAGGAGACGCTGTGCAAATCCTCCCAGTACACCACGGAGTACGTGGACGAGCGCCTCATGGCTATGAGGTTTGAGATGATGGGCCACCGCGGAGCGGTGACCTTCGTGGCTGCGTATGCCCCAACAGACGTGGCCACCACCGAGAGCAAACACATGTTCTGGGAAAAACTTGACAGTCTCGTGCGTCGTAT